ACAATGGCCTTGGCCTTTTCTTCTTTATCTGTGGCACCTTTTCATCTAGTATTTTTGCATGGTCATTTGTGACGTTGCCATGGCTAACTTGCTATTTTGAATAAAGCCTGGAATAATTCTGATTAGTTATCATTCAAAGCAGTGGTTCTCAAAGCTAACTGATCATCAATAGCAATGGGGAATGAGATTGGAGCTTGGGAAAAATTCAGTCTCCCAGGCTTTTTCTCAAAGTGGGAACCCAGAATGGGTGATTTTATTGGTGTCAGGACAGTGCTGGTTTGGGATTTGGAAACCTTTAGGTCAGTGTTAAATATTTAGAAGCAGAGAGGTTCTATGGGTAGGCAGTGTGTTTTAAAAATCCACATTACTGGGCTCTGCCCTCAGAGAGTTGATGTAGTGGGGCTGGAGTCTTCTATGTTGACCAGGCACTTCAGGTAGTGCTAATGCAAGTGGTTCTGGGTCCACATTTTGAGAAACCCACAGGAAGCTGTACCTCTGCAACTCCGCCTTCAGGGAATGTGGTACTACAGGGCAAGTGTGAATCTCTTTATAGCACAGGTACATTTTATCTCACAGTCAGTCTGAGTCCTCTCTTCTGTTTAGGCAGCAAAGGGAACTTATTGTGGGCACTTCTTTCACCATCATTCCTCTAAGAAATGGCATGCCCTGTCTCTTGTGAGCCTCTGGCATATGGACTGAACAGATCGTTTGGTTCCTGCTTTTTGGGCTCAATGTAGTGGAGCAGAAACAATCCAGGCTTCACTGCTTGAGGCCTTGGGATCTTGACTTACAACTTAGCCCAAGTGCAAAGGTAAATACCTTTCTCAGGCTGAATTGAGAGAGGTGCTCTTTCTTTTTATATGAAAGAGCAGGTGAGCTGTGAAGTACCACACAACTTTTTCTTGTTTGTGGCTGATTGAGGGAGCAAAACTCAAAAAATAAAAAAAAAAAAAAAAAAGTAGCAACCTGAGCATTTCACAAAGAAATAAGGGGCTTCAGGGAAAGGACAGAAAGGATTTGTTAACTGAATAGAAGTTGATGGTCTTTACCAAAGTAAATGAAAATTCAAATGAACTAAAAGAGGTTGTAAAAGTGTGCTGTGTAAGCCAGGAGGCAGCTGTATTTCAATTACTCGTCTGTGAGCTTGGAATTGTGTTCCTTGGGTGGCACCTGGAGTTGTTTAGTAGGCATTAATATTAGATCAACTAATCAGGTCCAGCTTCGTACTTCAGAAGCTTCTCCAACTTTGTATGTTCTGGTGCCAAGTTTCCATTTTTAACTGATTGTACTTTGAGGAGAAAGATTAATAAATCAAATGAGGGGGAAAAATAGGTTCTTGCCAAATCCCCAAACAATAGGTATTGTTGAGCTCCAGGATTGACACTCCAAAAGGCTTTGCTTAAGCCCTAGATCTTTGGAAGCAACAATTCTACATTTTTGTTCTTCATTTATTTTCCTACTTTGCAATTGAAAAACATTTTTATCCACATTACAAAGCCAAGGTGATCTATTAGCTGAATGCTGCTAATAAAGGAGAACAAAGCAATACTTGTAAATTTGTTTCTATGAGATGGACAGAGACGACTATTGGCAAGAAAGCAAGGAAGGTTGGTTTATTCTATTAAAAGCAGCATTTTGTTAACTTTATTTTTTTTAAGTCAGAGTCTTACTCTGTTCCCCAGGCTGGAGTGCAGTGGTGCGATCTAGCTCACTACAGCCTCCACTTCCGAAGTTCAAGTGATTCTCATGTCTCAGACTTCTGAGTAGCTGAGATTACAGGTGTGTGCCACCACATCTGGCTAATTTTTAGTAGAGACAAGTTTCACCATGTTGGTCAGGCTGGTCTCGAACTTCCAACTCAGGCCCACCTTGACCTCCCAGAGTGCTCAGATTACACACATAAGACACTGCACTAGGCCAACCAATTTTTTAAATTGCCTGAGGTAACAAAATGTTTCAGTAGGTAGAGAAGGTTAGAGTCTGTGGGTGCCCTTTGCTTAACTCACTACAAAACCATAAATTAAAAAAAAAGATTTTAAGGGAAGAGGGCTGGAGCTTTAATGGATTCACTCTGTGGGTTAATTATACACCATTGTCGGTAAATAGTATTTTAAATTGTTAAATTATCTCATGGTATAAATACTATATTATGTATGTAGGTATTTATTTGCTTTATTTTTGTCTACTCATTACATTGTGGATTTCTTAAGGCAAAGTTCAGATCTTTTTTCAAATTTTGTGACCTTTAGAAGCAGTGCTACACAAAATGTGAGTCTCCAAGTTGTTTATAACTTGTCTGAGATAAGATAAAAGCAGAAATAGGGAGTAGATATCTAATAACTTTAATAGGAATTTGACATGGCTGTGACATTTTTACCAAAGTGTTTGTCCACAGTGGTGTGGAAATAAAAAAACAAACTGGTCTGTCCGAAACCCTGAGAGTTTGAGAAGCATAGCTCCAAGGTCTAATGTAGTACCTGAGTTTGGTAAATACTCAATAAATGCTCATCAAATTATTTCAGAGATCAGATCTCTTAGGGAACAAAGTTAATATTTCAATTCGAGTATTTTTTAGTGTCTCTGGAGTACTCTGGCACGGTGGCAATATATCTAGGAAAAGAAATTATGGTGATTTCTACTCATGGAATTAATAACTGATCAAAAAGATCTCAGGGGTGCAAAAGATTACAAAGGGATGTGAGGTGAGACATAGTTGTTTGTCAAAACCTCACAATGAAGAGTAAATGTTTATGGATTAAAGTAGGAACTTGGCACATGTATTAGTCAGGCTTCTCTAAAGGGACAGAATTAAGAGGATATATGTAGATATGAAGGAGAGTTTATTAGGAGAATTGACTCACATGATCACAAGGTGAAGTCCCACAATAGGCCATCTGCAAGCTGAGGATCAAGGAAGCTACTCTGAGTCCCAAAACCTCAAAAGTAGAGAAGCCAACAGTTCAGCCTTCAGTCTGTGGCAGAAGGCCTGAGAGCCCCTAGCAAATCACTGGTGTAAGTCCAAGAGTCCAAAAGCTGAAGAACTTAGAGTCTGATGTTCTAGGGCAGGAAGCATCCAGCACAAGAGGAAGATGTAGGCCAGAAGACTCAGGCAGTCTATTCTTTCCAGCTTCTGCCTGCTTTATTCTAGCAGCACTGGCAGCTGATTAGATGGTGCTCACCTAGATTGAGGGTGTGTCAGCCTCTCCCAGGCCACCGACTCAAATGTTAATCTTCTCCTTTGGCAACACCCTCACAGACACATCCAGGAACAATACTTTGTATCCTTCAATCCAATCAAGTTGATACTCAATATTAACCCAACACAGCACATTAGTGAGAACACGGCACTTGGGTGAGCTTGGCTGGGAAGGTGCAGAGCTGGGGAAGCCTGACTTGAGCAGTGAAATGGTTGGGAACAGGAGCAAAGGCTTTGTCCTACACTACAGCGAGAGGGGTCCTGCTCTAGATTCCCCTAGGCAGGGTGGAGCACTGGAGATTTTTCAATATAGAAGAGCCAATAATTTTTCATAAGGTTAATCCAGAAGTTTTATGAAAAGGAACCCTTTCCTTTTCACAAGATCAAGAAAGCCTGAGGCCAACTGAGTAAGCCAAACGGAGGCTGATATGGTTTGGGACTGCCTCAAGCAGAAAAAATGCAAAGAGACATATAGTGGAATCTCTTTTGAGCCAGTGACAGGCTACCAGTCTTGGTGTCCAATGTCCCCTCAAGTGCTGTGAACACTTAGGTCCTTGCTAAGATCCTGTTAGTTTAGGTGACACAGGACACTGGAGGCAAAAAGGAGTCACGTCTGGCTCTGAGCTTTTAAGCTTACATGATATGACGACATTGGTATCATAAACTGGTAGACATAGGAACTGGAACTTGTTGGGGAGAAAATGCTGAGGAGTGTTTCATCTTTTACTTTTCCATGTTAATCTTGAGACAATTCTAGATTATTGTTTCTATGGCTATAGCAGACAGTTGGATCTGATGTGATTTTTCGTCTCTCACTCCAGGTGTGACGAAGATCCAGTCTCTCTACATGAAGACCAGACTGATTGCTCCAGTCTCAGGTATAAGCCACCATTGCTTGATCCATATTTGTGAGAGACAGAAACCACCTAGGTCTCTGGTGGCTCTCCTTTGAATTCTAGTCTCTTCTTTGGATTCTAATTCTTTGTTCTCATGCCTCATCTCTTCTCCTAGATTTTTACCTCTTGACAAAATTTTTGTCTTTTCAACTTTTGGATACCACCCCCTTAGCACCCAGGGCAATACCTAACATGTGGGAACACTTGATAAATGCCTATTGAACTGAATATTGATTAGCCTGTTTCAATAGTCTCATCACACACCCTAAAGGAAGAGGCTCTGGATTATTCACCAAACATGTTAAGTGTCTGTGGTATGATCCTGGTCATTAAAGGCTTATGGTACTGTTGGCAAAACCTTCACTGTTAATCGTTTCTTCTACATTTACTTTGTTCCAGGCACTTTTATCTGTATCTTATTATTTGATATAAACTGAAAGGAATCTGATATTTCCCTTCTCATCATATAGATGGAGAAACAGACACTCAGGAATGATAACTCATCTGAGATAGCATAGCACTATGAGACAGAATTTAGGCCCAGGTCTCTCTGACTTTAAAGTCCACTTACTGGATAACAAGTGTCTGTTGAAGGCCAATTTTCTGTGCCAGGAGCCAGTCATAGTTTGGGATGGAGAAAGACAAACCAATGCTGCTCCTAAGCATTCAGTTTGCTGGAGGACATGGGCAAGAATATACATGTGGATGCTACAGTGCCTTAAGTGCTAATATACTTAAGGTATATAGTGGATTCACTTAGAAGAACCAAACAGCCCAGAGAGCTTTCTTGGATTGATTCCTGAAGAAAACTATGCAAGGCATAGTACTCCTTTTTTTTGGGGGGGGAGTGAGGGCCAAGGCCAAGAAAAAGAGGATGTCACCAAGCACAGTGAGTATATTACTGGAAAGCCAATAAACGGTAGAGAGAATTGTTTGAGTTGCAGGAACAGCAGGTGGTTCAGGATGGTAGGAACCCTGGGAACCTGGTGGAGTGAGGAGGTAAAAGGTAAGATAAGAAGTGAAGCTTTACAGGTAAACAAAGAACAGGTTTCCTAGAGTTTGTGTTCCTTGCTAAGGCGTTCAAAATTATCTTGGAGGTATTGGAGAAATTTAAAAGAACTCTCTTTTTTTCCCCTTTGCAAATAACCATATGGCTATGGCCCTGCCCGAGAGTAGCAATAGCTTTCATTTATTAGGTTGCAGCCTTGGGTCAGTTTTCTGTGGTGGGCATTTCACAGAGACTGTATGATCTCTGTTAAGCAGATATTACATCTATTTTATGAATGAGGATTATACAGGTGAAGTGATGTTGCCCAGGCCATATGACTAATAAGTGGGGGGATCTCTCAGAGTCTGGCTCTTTTCAGGACACCAAGCTTATTCTCAGTCATGATTTATTCCAATAAGTAGTGGCATAAATTACATAAGCTGTGCTTTTCTGTTTTGGAGATCCTGAAGAACCAATAATATGTGAGAAACTATATTTCTAAATAGGACTTTTGTAACCAGGTTTTACATTTGTGTAATGGGAGAAAGATGCTTTTTGCCCCCTCTCCCCTTTCCTGGCTTCCCAAGTCAAGGAAGTAAACAAAATCATATTTATAAGTTTTGGAAGACTTGAAAATGTGATATAAATGATATAAAAATAAAGTTCAGGTATTATTTTGGGAATGAGTAAATCAAAAAAATAATTTTGGATTTGAAAATCTCTTTTTTTTATTCTCGAGTATTCTATAATCCAACTCGAATGAGAGCATTTAGGTAACTGTAAAGGCAGCTATTTTTCTTTTGTTTCTCATGCAGGCTCATGGAGTGGATGGGTTTCCTGTGAGAAAAATGTACTTCAAATGAACTAGTGTAGTTTCCAATTCATAGTTTGATGTTAATTTCCAGATCTGTTAAAGACTTAGAATTCTTTTAAAATTGTAAGTGACCTCACAGCAAGACTATTAACCAGTGCCATTGGCATTGATTTGTTTTTCAGTTTTTAACATTGAATAATTATTTTAATTGTTGGGTTCTCCTTTATCAGATAGCACTACTACATTTGTCCTGGATTCAAGTTTAACTATTTCCCACAGTTTTATTTTTATACCTTGTCCAACTGCACCCTGGTCATGTTCCAGACCACGTATCTTGATATTTGCTTTGCTCTTTTCCCAGAGACTACCTGGAACTTATCCTCCCTGATGCCAGCTCAGTGAATTTAATCTGCTTTTTATTCGTTAAAAGTTGTTTTGAATGGTGGGCATTCCTTCTTTGCTGGTCTTGCCACTGGCTTTATGTGTCCTTGAGCAGCCAGGAATTACTTTCCAAGTGACTTTGCGAACGCTGTTTTATGGGTGCTGTTGGTAAGGGAGCATGAGGGGAAAACAACATCTGTGGGAAGCAGCCACTCCTCATGCATTTCATGTTCCAGTGACAGTGATTGCTGGTGGATTAAGGTTAATGATATGGATTACATAGAGAAGGCCCCTTCTAGTTATGTCTGTGTTGTTTGCTGAATACTTGGCAGAATGAAAAATAAAATGCATCTAGATTTAGGTAGAAAAATGGCTTCAAATAAGAGTGTTTTTATGTCAGTATTTTTGAGAAAATTGAAACTGGAGGGGGGTAAGGACATTGTACAGAATTTGACTGTTGAGTGAAGAACACAAGGGCCATCCCAGCCCTGAATATATGATATTCAGGGATAACACCACCCTCTTCCATATTCTTCAGAATCAGAGCCTGGACACTGCGATGTTTGACTTTGCATTCAGGACATTGTTCAGAGGGCCTGGGTAGGTAAAATTTGGCCCATGCCTTATATTTTACCCAGGCAACATGTAGCTTATCAAAATAGATCCTGTTAAATTTTTAAGTACCTCTGAAAGTTGTAGGGATGATTATAAACTGACATTGCCAATGAAGAGGAAGCATGGTGCCTTGAACCAAGAACACAGGTGTGAGTCTGGAGACCTACCTTAAGCCTCTGGGTCTGTGTGGATTAGTTCTTCCATTAGGAATGTGATTTAATCTCTTAGAGTCTTCATCTATAAAGTAGGGATGATGATATCTCACCTGAATATATCACATTATTATTGTGAGAGGGAAATGTGATATATGCGAAAGTTTCTTAAAGTGAAAATTTTAAAATAAATAATAATGATATGTACATAGTTACAACTACACAAAGTTTGTATCCATTAACAAAGATCAGAAGGGAAGGGGAAGTGATACAGAGTGAAATTCATATTTCTTGTTCTTGCAGAATTGTCTGAGTGTATGCTAAAAATTTTGTTAGGTGTCTATCCTATAAATACAGCAGCAATGAATATCTCCAGCCTTCTTTCCTGCAGCAGTTTATTCATCTTTTTTTAAGTGCTTTCTAAATTGGGTCTTTCCTGTTTTAGAGATGAAAACAATAAAGAGAACTACCCCGACGCAGGGGCTCTGGTAGAGGAGCACGCACAGCCCTCTTGGGAGCTGCAGCAGCAGCATGTAGAGCAGACCGTGCTGGTGGACGGCGTATTGCGACCCAGCATGGGCAACTTCAAGTCCCGGAAGCCCAAGTCCATCTTCAAAGCAGAGAGTGGGAAGAGCCACGGAGAAAGTCAGGTAGCAGCTCTCGCTCTCTCTCTTTCCTTAGGCCTTTGCCAAGATGGGTGATTCTTAGGTTAGGGCAGACATTTCTGGCAGACAATTTGAGTGCACTGTTTTGCGGGAAGGGATTGGCATGACTTGTCATTGTGTGCTCTGCTGGCCTGAGACAGGTAGAAGCTCTTGCAGGTTAAAAGTTGGGTGCTCTGAGCTGGCTAATAATTTGTTGCCCTTTAAAACATGTTCTTAAATATTGGACTTTGATTATTTATTTATTTGGAGACAGAGTCTTGTTCTATCCCCCAGACTGGAGTGCAGTGGTCTGATCTCAGCTCACTGCAACCTCCACCTCCTAGGTTCAAGCAATTCTCCTGCCTCAGCCTCCTAAGTAGCTAGGATTACAGGCACCTGCCATCATGCCTAACTAATTTTTTTTTTTGTGTGTAGTTTTAATAGAGACAGGGTTTCGCCATGTTGGCCAGGGCAGTCTCGAACTTCAGACCTCAAGTGATCCACCCGCCTCAGCCTCCCAAAGTGTTGGGAACAGGCGTGAGCCACAGTGCCCAGCTATTGGACTTTGATTTAAAGGAGCAGCTGCATTCTTTTGAGGGGGGAATATGAAAGAGGATCTCTCTGTTTTCATTCAGCCAGGTTGTTTTCATGCCTCAGAGGTAGGGACTCTGCTCAGCAAAACCAAAATACTCAGTTTCATCCAGAGCTATTCTTTTAGGCTGAAGTTTAGCAGGTTGGAATAAACATACAAGTATATGTGTGTGTGTAGTATCTGGTTTTCTGAGGTCAATGAATATTTGAATGAATAAAGGAAACATCTTTCTAATACATGTTGATAATAAATGGGTATTTGATTAATTTTAAAAAATTTTATGTAAGAATGTAGCAAAGACTGATTTTTTATCCTAAAATTCCCTCATATAATTTATGAAATTTATGATGCTTTTTTTTTGTTTCTGAGACAAGGTCTCACTGTGTCACCCAGGCTGGAGTGCAGTAGTGCAATCTCAGGTCACTGCTACCTCCACCACCAGCTTCCAGCGATCCTCCCACTTCAGTCTCCCCTATTAGATGGGACTACAGGCATAAGCTGCCATGCCCAGCTAATTTTTGTATTTTCTTTCAGAGACGGGGTTTCAGCATGTCAACTAGGCAAGTCCTGACCTTGTGATCCACCTGCCTCAGCCTCCCAAAGTGCTGGGGTTACAAGAGTGAGCCACCATGCCTGGACTTTATGATGATTTTAAAATAGACTGAGTTAATATAATCTACTTTACCCTTAAAAAGAGGTTAATATTTCCAACATTGAGATTTTACTTCTCATGCACCTAACATAGTTTTGGGGCCATGTTCCATAAGCATTCACTTTGCTTTTTTGTTAACATTAAATGTTAACTTTAAAATTATGTGGGAAGCTGTAAGTATAATAGGTTAATTTTGTAGTAACATTTAAGCCCAGTCCTATTTAGCAAATGTATATCAGGAGATCTTCCTGTTATAATAACTTTGGCTGGGAAGGTTTTTTAACCTTGCATTTGTTATTTGCCTTGTGATTTTTATCTTTCTTCTTCCTTGGCATTGCAACCTCTTATTTAGTCAGTTAATTTCATAGTGAGATGAAAATACCCTCTGCATTAATGAAGCTGTGTTGCAATTATCTTAAACCAAGTGTAACTGTTGTTGCAGAGATGTGAATGTGAAATACCATTTGAGTTATGATTAGCTTGAGATTATTACTGAAGGTACTCTAGCACCTAACTAATTAGGAGAGTCATGCTGGGGAGGGCACAGTTTCCCCAAGTGCTGCCCCCAGAGACTGACTGATCCCAGGGATGCTCTGACCTTGAATCTCCTACCACTGGTGATAGTAAGCTTCAAGGTGACCAGCCATCTCTCCTCAGAGTGCCTTCTTTCTTGTCATCCTGTAGTCTGGCCTCACAGAAATTGCAGAGTTGTCACTTGTAATAAGGTGCTAATGGGGCATGTAATTCCCAACCTGTTGCTCATACACAGGTAGATTTCAGGGGAGAAACATGTTTGTATAGTCTTTGCTCATAATACAGCATTGGAATCCTGGACTACAGGTAAAATTCCCACTGGAATTTAAGTGGCCTGTTCTGTCTGATACAATGAGCTGCATTCTCAAATGCCTTCCATTCCAATCAAGACATTTGTTGAATAATGGAATTTTCCAATTATATCTGGGTTAAAAGAAGACAGATTATTATTGAATGCATATAAATTATCCTAGTGCCATAAGAATGTAAGGACACTTGGTATGAGTTTCTGAACTCTGGGGATCAGTGAGACTCAGATACCATTTTTAAATGCTTTATTTCAGTTTACATTAGCAGTATCTACTAAATTGTTGTGAGTTGCAGATAATTGAATCACAGAGAGGACTTGTTATATATTCAAAAATAGAACAATAAAACAATGATATACTAAATAAATAACTAAAATAAATTTTTCTTTATTAGACCATTCAATCTTCCTCTTATTATTATTTGAGACAAGGTCTCTCTCTGCCACTCAGACTGGAGTGCAGTGGTATGATCATGGCTTACTGCAACCTCCACTTCCCAGGCTCAAGGGATCCTCTTGCCTCAACCTCCCAAGTAATGGGGACTACAGCCACCCACCACAATGCCCGGCTAATTTATTTTTATTTTTAGTAGAGACAGGGTTTTACCATGTTGGCCAGGCTGGTCTCAAGTGATCTGCCCTCCTCGGCCTCCCAAAGTGCTGGGATTACAGGCGTGAGCCACTACACCCAGCCTCAGTCAGTCTTGTATAATTAATTCTTGTTCCTCTTGATCTCGGGTTAGTGGTATCATGACACTGTCTGCTTCTCCACTAAAGTTCTGCAAATCCTGACTCAGTCCACTGGTGTCATCATATGCCTGTATCCAAGAGACTGTCATTTGAAATGTCAATTGTTTAAAGTGTCTGGTCCTTTACTATGAGGCTGTTGAGATTTATCTTTACCAAAGACACAAACTGTAGCCTAATGCTGAATAAAACCTCAGGCAAGCATTGGAGGAAATGAAACCATCTATAGATGACAGAAATAGAAATGGCTGTGGTTAGTTTACTACCAATAATTTTAAAATGCGAAAGGTCTGATGAGAGTTTATAATAAGCATAGCACATAATATGACATGCAAACGAAGACAGTAAAATTATTCCTGCAAAATTAGAATGTCTTGAGGATAATGAGTAAGCCGATTTTCAAAGAAGTCAGGGAATGTTATTTCTGATTTTATAAAAATGAATGAATATAGTTTTTTACAAAGAAAACTCTCAAGATATAACACTTTTAAAAGATTCATGAAGTCTGGAGTAGGTCATTAAACTCAACAGACAGTCTCATGTGCATCCCTGAGTGAAAACCAGTGACCTAGATATTGCTAGATTCAAATGAAAGAAATAAGGCTGTGGATAAGTCAACATTCTAAATAATAACTACACTTATCACTGATCGGTATCATTCTCTAATATCAAGCAAAGCTCCACCAGGACTTGGACCAATATGGGAGAATTTGATAAAACTATTTCATAAGAGTTTTCATTGTAGGGAAAATGTCACATTAATTGGGTTTACCATGTAGTATGGTTGAGAGAGTGGATCTGTTTATAAAGCTGCATTTATTTGGGGGAACTTGAGCTTATGTTGCAGCTACAAATCCTACCTGATGCTTGTTGCTATCATCAAGATACTGAGTTCTAATGGTTGTGCTATAGGATCATCATTCCCCACAATCACTTATGAAGGCCTTATGGGCACAACCTTCATAAATTTAAAACCAACCCTCTTTGAAACTGAAGAGCACCATCACAGATGTTGCGCTACTGGCATTTCTGGGTTCTTTTTTTCACAAAGTTTGGAGGTAGGACCTGAGTGACTCTTCAGGCTGATCCTAACTAGGTTAAAAACAAAGGTGTGAAACAGATAAAAGGAGCCAGATGGTAACTGTTGAAAGTTTGGCTTAATGTTCCACTTTTCTTACCTTTATTCTGATCCCCAAAATCAGAATCAGAAGTTCTACTTCTGGAGGATCAGATTCAAATTTTAGTTTGAGCAACTTCTCTTTAATGTTGGCACTGACCACTTATATGAGAATGAACCATGGGTAGGGTGGCAGAATCTGAGATTTTGTGTGCATTCATGAATGACTGATTCCAGTTTTGCACCTGCTTTGAATGAAAAAATGAAAATGGGAGAGATTTAGTTATATTTGCTGATATAACAGAAGACCAAGAACTGGAAGCAATGCAAGAATGCCCTCAAATAAGTTAAGGTATTTAGAATAAGGAGAATATTTATTTGAATTGGAGTCAGTTTTCCTTTCTGCTTGTTTATCTCTTTTTTCCTTAGACAATAGGCTTTGCAAAATAATGCCTTGGATAAGGACCATTTAATGATCTGCCTCCTGGAAGGACAAGTTTTAGGGATACTATTGCCAGAGTTCCTTGAGATGATGAACTTGAAGTTAGAATGAGATGTTGAGTTGGTTGTTGATAAGCATAAACTCCTGATCAAAGTGGAATCCAGTGACAGTTTACTCTTACATAATATCTAATTAAATAGCAACACCCTTTTCAAGAAGGAGAACCAATTTAAGATATGGATTATATGTTATAATGTTTCATGAAAACTTAACAATGATCCTGTATTGATCACCCTGTAAGTCATAAAATTAATCCTTGACAACTCAATTTGGGGAGGATTAGACTTAACTAACAGAACCAACTTCCTGTAATGGACCTCATAACTGTCCAGAGGGCACTTATTTTTTAGCAATGGTAGATGCAGTCTTGTCATCCCCACTCCCTGCCATCTGGCATCATGCTATGCACTGTCCTGTTGCTCTCCCCTCTGGTGGCTATTTTAGCAGAAGACAAAAAGTAGGAGGCTATATAGAGCTTTTCTGCAGTGAGCTGTACACTGTGATCATACTGCTAATCCACCTCCTCGGGGAGACCAGCTGTTTGGTCTGGTGTAT